CTTAACATTTTTTTTTTGTTTTTAAACAGTACATTCTTCCCAGAAGTGCAAACTTGCAAGAACTATCTATTCTTGCACTTCAATCCTTACTGCCTAAAAGACAATAAGATTATCACACTCATCTGCAAAAACATCACATAATTTAAACACAAAAATCTGATCCAAAACACACACACACACACACACTAATATGCATCTCCTCATCACTTTACAATACATCAAAAACCCCTTCATTAGTAAACCTTACATAATAAGTACTAGTAACCATATTCCAAACTTAACCATAAAATCCAATACGACACATGGATTTCATTTTCCTACTATGAAGGGTTAAAGAAAAAAAGGGTCAAATCAAATCAAGATTCATCCTTTCACTTTCCCCCTCACAATGGATCCAATTGAGTCACCACAATGGGGCTCCGAACAACCCGTTTCCCATCGACCCACGAAATCGACCCGAAAACTGCACCCGAATCATCCAAAACCAACTTCCCTCCATCCACGGTTATCGTCACGTAATAACCTAAACTCTTCACCCCTTCCTTAAACTCGAGCTTCCAAGGCTTCACGCTAACCCTAACCCCCTTGGGAGCCTCGACTTTCACCCTATACACCGAATTAACCTCCCCCACATTTTTCACCACCCTAAAAAAAGTCTTGCTCGAGACCCCTTTTGACCCGGCCGAAAAAACTGCCGCGATCGACGGGTAGTTCAGATTCTCGGGCATTGGCTTCCTCTCCGGGCAGTTCATGCGGGCCCGCGTGATCACTTGAATCGTCTTGGGCCCGTACTCGATCGCGCAAAGGAAGCCCACATAGTCGTCCTCGGTCAAGTCGTACACTAGGCCCGGGTCCATGGCCCGATCCAAACTCAAGTGGCCCGACCCGTAATCGTAGGGTGTGGCGGGCTTTCGGGTCGACTCGTCCATCATTGGGCCTAGCGAGTTGTCGGTTAGGCCCGCGGTGGTCATCATGGCTGACCGGATGGCTGCCGGGCTCCAGTCAGGATGGGCCGACTTGAGCAGGGCAGCTGCCCCGCTCACGTGCGGGCAGGCCATCGAGGTGCCCGAGAGGATGTTGAACTCGGACTTGCGATGGTCCGAGTCGAGGCCCGTGGGCCCGATAGCGTCGGTCCACGCGGCTAGGATGTTGACTCCGGGGGCAATGAGATCGGGCTTTAGGATCTCTGGGCTGAGCCCGTTTGGGCCTCGAGCGGAAAACGAGGCGACAATTGGGGCGGGTTTTGTACCGATTACGGTGCCGTGGAAGATGAGGGTTGCGCTGGCTTTAGGGTCGGATGCCAGGTAGGATTTTATTTTGTCCCCGTCGTCCGAGCCTACGGCGCATGCTGGGATCAGGTGTGCGTCTCCCACTAGACCCTCGCCGTTTGAGGGCCCGTTGGTGAGGATCATCCCCACGCCGCCGGACTCTTTGACGACCAATCCCTTGGCGACACGTGGGCTGTTGCCGCGGTCGCATATTACGATTTTGCCCCTGACGGAATCTGGGTCGAGTGAGTTCTCCATACAGAGGGAGGCGGAGAGGACCCCTGTTTTTCCTGGGTAGACGAGAGGGTACATTTTACCGGCGAGTGGCTCGCCGGCGTAGAGGGATACTCCGGGGAATCTACGGCCGTCGTTGAGGACGACCTCCGCCGGGAAATCGCGGTCGATGGTGCCGGCGCCTACGGTGGTGAGCCAGGGGGCGAGGTTGGTGACGGACATGGCGTTTGGGCCCTCGTTTCCGGCTGAGGACGAGACGAAGATCCCACGGGAGACGGCGCCGTAAGCGCCGATGGCGATGGGGTCCAGGTAGTAAGGGGTGGAGATGCCCTCGCCGCCGCCGATCGAGATCGAGATGACGTCGACGCCGTCGCGGACGGCGGCGTCGAACGCCGCCAGGATGTCGGAGTCGAAGCAACCGGACTTCTTCCAGCAGACCTTGTAGACGGCGAGGCGGGCCTTGGGGGCGACGCCCTTGGCGACGCCGGCGGCGTAGCCCTGCATACTCGCCCTGAAGGAGTGCCGCCCGGCGGCCGTCGACGCCGTGTGGGTCCCGTGGCCGTCGGCGTCCCTTGGCGACCTGAACTCCACCGTCTCGTTGATTCCGCCGGGGATTCCCCCAAATCCGGGCGCCGCCTCCTGGCCCTTGGAGAAAAACCGGGCGCCGACGATTTTCCGGTTGCAATTCCTGGGGCTGAACCCCGGGCCGGACTCGCACGCGCCTCTCCAGCGCGTGGGGACGGGGCCAAGGTTCAGATCTGAGAAGCTGCGGCGCTCGGGCCAAATCCCGGTGTCGAGGACGCCGATGATGACGTCGGAGCCGTAGTCGGAGTCGGACCAGAGGCCGCGCTGGTTGCGGAGGCCGAGGAACTGGGGGGAGCGGGTGGTGTGGAGGTGGCGGCGGCGGTCCTCGAAGGCGGCGAGGACGGATGGGTGGCGTAGGGCGGCGGCCGCCTGGGAAGGGGTGAGGACGGCGGAGAAGCCGTGGAATACGGTGTCGTAGAGGTGGAGGATGGCGGCGGAGTCTGTGAACTCGGCGGAGTACCAGTGGTGGGGAGTGGGGAAAATGGACGGCTTGGATGAGGTGTCGACTCGGATGATGTATGTTTTGGCCGTTGGATCAGACAGTGTTGGGGAAAGCAAGCCTATGAGGAGCAGCAGTTGGAGATAGAGAGAGGCCATAGTGTGAGAGAGAGAGTGAGTGATGTGTGTGGGGGAATTGAGAGTGATATATGTAATAATAATAAAATAAGTGGGAATCATTGTCCGGGGCCTCCGGGCTGATTTTTTAATTTAATTTAATGGACATTTTTAGCCGTTGATTAATTTGTTTTAATTAAAAAAATGTGGATAACAGGAGCATGAATTTATCCTGTCGACAGGTTGATTCTATCCTACATGTACTGGTACTGCCCGGTGTAGGTAGCAATTTTTCTTTTGCTATTTACAATAATGTGTAATTTTATCATCCTTATTGTTTATTTTAAGTAATAGTTATTTGTTTTTGTATTTCTATTAATTTATTCATTAATTTTATTTGTTTTTTCATTCTAAAATAATATCCCATATGATCATGTATTTCATATAATTGTGCTAATAAATTTATTCTTACTTTAATTATTTTTAATTTTCTTTTAATTCATTATGATTTTCTACATAAAAGGCTGGTGTGCTATGTGAACTTGTATTGGACTGTATTATTCCTTTTTCAAGCATTTTAGTTGTTTCTTCTTGAAATTCTTTTACATCTCTTTCTGTGTATGGTATTATATTTGGTACATTAATTTCTTTATTGGGATCTATCAATTCTATTTTAACTATCATGCTATTCGTATTTTTATCTGGATCTAATGGATCTTGACTACATATTTTTTCTAGTACTTGGTTAATTTGTTCTTCTAAGTTTATACTTATCATTTTATAAATTTGAAATGAAACTTTTCTTAATATCCCCCCTTTATAAAAGAAGATGTGTTATATATTTTTGTAGTAATCATTTTACTAGACTATGTATCTAATTGTGGACATCTGAAACTAATGTTATTTAATCTTTGAATAAATGGACTATATAACTTAAGAAAATTGTTTCCAATTATTAACGGTAAACCTGTATTTTACTTAGAAAGACTTGGTAAAGGAAAACGTTTTCTTCTATTAATAATACTAATGTTGCTCTAAAATCAATACTTATTGTTTTATTATTTGCAATTCTCACCGTGATTGGCTTATCTAATTTCTTCCAATATTTACTAGGTAATATGGATTCTTGTGCTAAACATATTGTTGCACCTGTATCTATATATGCTAATAGAGTTTTATTGAATAATTTAACTTTAATAAATGAACTATTTTTACTCATCTTCTGAATCTGATGATTCTATATCACTATCTGTTTCTGATTCTAATCGTATATATTGAAATCTAATAGTTCACCTTCTTCATATTCATCTTCTATCGGTTCATAACCTAAAGAAAATATCATCTTTAACTTCTTTTCTTTTTCCGGTATGTTTTTAGGGCATTCATTTGCATAATGTCCTATTTCTTGGCATTTCTAACATCTACAATTCTTCTTTCCTTTAGGACAATATTTGGGTTTGCCTATATATTTTCCTTGTTTTCTAAATTTACCTTTATATTTTGATATCCATAGTTTTCTAAATGTTTTATATCTTCTTGGTTTATATCGTTTATTAAACTTATATTTATAATACCTTTTCTTCCTATATGGTTTGTGACAACCATATTCTTGTGGTACACTGTCTAATTGTTTACAACATCTTGTGTCGACTTTAGTCATTTCATGATGTTCAATTTTTCTTATACAAAGTTCATCTCTATATTGTTTTGTATATTTTTCTAATACTCCTAGAGTTTTTTCTTCCTGTGTTTCACTTACTTTTTTCTGAATATACTTATTTATTTCATATTTTAGTTTGCTTTCAACTATTTCTATTAAACCTGATCTCTCTTTGATTTTATAGAAATTTTCTCTTACTTGACAAAAGAAATTTTCTATATAATATATATCACATAATTTCATATTAGTTGAAATTCTAATTATTTTTTCCTTTTGTGATTCTTTCGATTTGTTGTTGTCTTGAATTAACAACTTAAAATTAAACACAGCAGGTGTCAAGAAAATTAGGATAATTGTTCAATTTGATTTTATTTGTTATAATCACAAGAGTACAGAAGTCGGTTTTAGACTGAAAACCGAGATCGTCTTTAGTTTGTGTACAATGTGTTCGAAAAGATCCTCGTACTATTATAAATTCTGCTATTTATAGTACGGTGGCTTTTGTTTTCTTGCTCGAAATGGATAAAGACGCATTTAATGTTGAGCTGCTTCACTTGAAGCGGTGGGAAACATCAATGATTGCCTTTCTGTTTTGTTGGTCCAATCAGATGCTTCTAATGATTACATTCTGTTGGAATATTTGGACTCTGTGGTAGTCGGTTGAACTGTAGTCGGTTTATTTGTGTCGGCTTTAGATATTGGATCTTTCGAAGACCTTCAGAAGTCGGTAACCATGCAGAAGTCGGTAATTAGTTCCAATAAATACCGACTTTCAGTAAGTTCATCTTCTTAAGATATTATTTCTTCAATAGAGTATTTAATCTCCATCTTCAATTTCTTTTATCAAGTCGGATATCAACAGTGAGGCCCCCGACATCAGTAGGTATTTGAAGCTTTTTGAATAGTTGCTGATGTCGTCTGTTGTTCTGTTTTATTCCGACTCGTTTTGCTTTATCTACCGACATGAAAACACTTGCTTTATTTGACATTTTTTGTTTGGCACTTGGTCTGACATGGAGGCTCTCAAAAGGTGTGTTCGTATTTAATGGGTCCAACGGATATGAATTTATAACGACATGGCGTTTCAGGGCGTGGCCACGTGTACAAATAATTACTGTAACGTTATGTCGTTTTAAGACACGTCCGTTACACGTGCCGTTTCTGGATGTCTCCAACGGTTATAAATCAAAACCTATAAATTATAGTCGGTTTCGATGTGCGAAAAATTTCTGTACCTTAAACTTCTTGGCTTTTTCTTGCACTCTTTCTGTGATCTTTCCTTTGAATATTTTCTTCGTGCACTCGCTTTTTCTTTGATCTCTTCTTCAATTCAGGGCTCTTGGAAATTTCGGTAAGAATTTGCCCTAATCTTTCCCGTTTTCTTGTTCTATTTCGAGTTTTTCTTTATTTTTATCGATTTTGGAAGAAAAAATGTCTGCGCAAGCTGAGGATAGCAGTAGCCGAACGATTTCTGATATTCCGATCTTCACCGATGAGGATTTGGAATTGCCTCTTGAGTATTACCGGTGGGATCCTCTTCTGGTAAAGCGATTGAATCTTAATAAGGACATTTTTGAGGAGGACAAACGAGTTGAGGAGGATGCTATGTCGCTCCCTGATTATTGGAGACGTCCTGCTCGTCGGTGGCCTGAGCCAATTGATGAGTACAGAGGGGAACCGAGTATTCTTACTGACGCCGACATCGTCACTCTTCGAGAGGAGGTCTATATTCCCTCGTCGGTTAAGTTATTCGCTCCTTACCCAGGCGAAAGGATCACTTGTCCGCCTCCGGGCTGTGTTGGCGTATTTGCCGACTCATTAAGATCGGGGCTTCGGTTTTCTCTTCCTGCTTTAATCACAGATTACTTAAGGAATTGGGGGATTGGCCTGTGCCAGATTGCACCGAATTCGTGGAAGAGAATAATCGGTCTCATGGTGCTATTAAAGGAGAAGGGTTGGGACATGCCAACCGTTGAGGAAATCAGAAATTTATACTCATTTAGACGATGTGCTGATAGACAAGTAGCAGATCCTCTAATTTGTTACGCCTGTGCGGGGAGACCTCAGGAAGGGTTGAAGATCGGAGAGCTAATAGCCGACATTCCTGAGTCACTCCATGGATTTCAAGAGGAGTGGTTATGGGTTGGAGGAGATTGGCAGACTCCGAATTTTTCGAAACCTTTAATTGATGGGATGACGATTCCCATCAATATTAATTCTGCGATTTGTGAGTTCTTTGTTTTATTCTTTTCTTCCAAGTTGCCCTGACCTTGTTTATTTTTTGTACTAACAGGTCTTATTATTTGCAGCCAAAAGCAAGGGATCAAAACTCGGTTCAACTTTGAGAGGAAGGATTACCGAGTTTTTCAAGTTGAAGAAGACTCAGCGTAACTTTAAACTGATTCTGAAGAACACAAGATTGAGAGCTGCTGGTCTTTGTCCCGAAATTTCTGACAATTCATTCCAACCAGGTAAACTTGAGTAGAATTTTTGTCATCTTATTTGAAGTCGGTTATTTTCGAGATCAGTTGTAACTCGGTATAGTTGTTACTTTGCAGTTTATTATCCGCTCATTGGGGTTCTCGGTTTCAAGACCATCCGAGACGCAAAAGCTTTCCGCCAAAAGAGTCCGAATCTAGACCTTCGAACGAAAGTCGGAAAGAGCAAAGAGTTGCGTTGTCAGGAATGGGTCGCAAAAAATTAGTTAAAGCGTACTTGGAGAACCCGATTATGAATCCGCCAAAAGTCGATGTTGGTGATGGTGCAACGTCGACGGCTGCGATCGAGATACCGCAGCCGAATCCTCTGGCTATCGCAGCAGAAGGTCCTATGGCTGCCATTGCTGCTGCTACTGCTACTGTGTCTGAAATTGAGCCGGTTGTTGAGGTTACTCCAGCGGAAAATCCACCTATTATCGATCTGGCTTCTGATGAGCCTGATGGTGGCCGAGAAATTATTGCTGAGCGTGAAGTGCCCGTTACTCGGTCAAGAAAAAGACGTGTGGAAGACGTTCCAACCGCTGAGGAACGGAGAAAAAAGAAGCATGATGTTGATGATCGTGGAAAGAAGAAGAAGGAACCACTTGTGGATCGATCCTTCTTGCCGATTGATGAAGAAAGATTTTTGAATTTCAGGCAGCCTCGGGAATTGGTCGAGAAATGGTTCTCGACTTTTGAATCAGTTGAGATTCCCGAGATCTCAAGCACGGTCGAACTTCCTGGCCATGTCATTGATGCTGCTCGGGTCCCTATGATGGTATGGGATCCGAGATCTGAGATCGGCGTGTCATCGTTGGCGAGTGCATACAAGTTCAAGTATGCCAAAGCTTGCCTGGGTCGCGCACTTGTCAGTCTAGTGATGGCCGAGGATGATTTCCGACTTA